GTGCACAGATCTTGTCTTTTCTGCAGGCATGAGCTAAAATCTCGATTGTCATTTAAGTAAGGCGTGTCGTCCTTGGACCAGCTTCGTGACTGAGGAAGCCCATGGAAGGACCTTGCCCAGAGGTCCTACAGGGCTTGTCTTTCTTTAAGAAATACTGTGATGTTTTTCTTTTTTTTTTTTTTTTCCAGATGTAAACTTGATTTTGTTGAAATTTGGGGGAAAAAGTATAATGAGAAAAAGTCATTTCATCTATGGGATTTTTAAATTCCCTGAAACCTTATTAAATGCACAGCCTCCCAGATTTGTTAACAGATTACTTTTTTCTCCAAAGGAAAAGGCCGGATTCAAAGGCCCCAAACCGGGCTGCTCTTAACATTCTTTGTCTTTGGTCCATGCAGGTTAAGCGTCAGATGTGTCTGTGGTAGTCGGGGGTCCAGTGTGGCTGCTCCTCTGGGGCCTCTATGGGATTGGGAAGGCAGGGCAGCCCCTGGGCAGTGGTGGGCTTTGCAGCCCGAGCTGGGCTTGGAGCCGGCTGCGTGCGTGCGTGCGTGCTGTCTCGGGGGCCGCCGCCGCCACCTCCGATGCATTCAGTGGATCTTCCATCCGGGACCCTGTGAGGGCTGCTTTCCCACAAACTCAGGAGGACCCTTGCAGCCTCTGTCCCCCAATGTGAAGCTCGTGGGGAGACCGGCAGGCATACTGGCTGGTCCCACGTCTCTGGAGACAGGTGTGCCTGCCAGCTTCTCTGTGGTGTGGGAGGGGGGTGCCGTCTGTATTTGGGGCCGGCAGGAGTCGGGCTCGCCTTCGTCTCTAAGTCGGATGGTTGCTTATGCAGTGGTGGGCTTTACGGAGGTGCAGGGGAGCCCTTCCTGGGGCCTTGGACCCAAGTTTGGCTTAGGTGATTGGGGATGTCAGGGCATGGACGTCTCCCCGACGCTGGGGTCTGGCTTCCTGCTGTGGGAGGTGCAGGGGAACCTGGCCTACGCTGTTGGGGTGGCACTCATGCTGCGTCTGGCCCAGCAGCTGTTTGGCCTGCATCTGTGCGTCTGAGACAGCCTGCAGCACTGGTCTGGATGTCCCCTGAACAAACGAGTGTTTCTGCCACTGGAGTTCTCCCCCAGCCCCCCAGACCTCACCCCCGTGGCAGGTTCCACTGGCAGAGGCCCTGGATTGACACCTGGGCCTCTGCCCCCCAGCTCAGCTTCCTCAGCGCCCTTGGGCCTGGCCCTCAGCCCTGGGCTCTTCCCTCCTCTGCTCCTGCCTCCAGCCTTGTTCCCCAGGTGTCCTGAAATAACATTTCCCAGTCGCACACCTTTCTCCCTACTGGTGTTGCCTATGAGATAGAATCCAGATCCTTGGGGCCCGTGAAGACGTGGACCCACTGCAGTCTCACTTCTCCTTCCAAGCCAGGCTGCCTGTCCTTGCTGCCCCCACCTTGCACCAGCCCTCGCCTTCTCCATACGCAGCAGTGCTTGGCTAAAGCATCCCGCTTTGAAATCTCTCCCGGCACCGCTGCCGCGGTTGCATCCTTGGCCGCACGCCCACCCCACGTTCCCTTTGTGTGGATCTGCTGCGTGGTTGCCACACATCCTGTGTCTCGTCTGCCTCTTAGCTGGCACTTCCACCTCGGACCTACCTTTTCAGGCCCAGCAGTTTGCTGACTGCCGGTACACAGTAGGAGCATACTTTGTGGATAGGGACCATTGGGACCCGCCCGCCCTGGGGCAACCTGTGCCAGCCGCTGGTGTTTTGCTGGAGCCTAGTGACGGGCTGTCGCCGGGCCTGGGCCATAATCCCCTCACGGACGGGCAGCTGTTGGTGCCACCCTGTTGGCTGACGTGGCTAGACGTGAGCCGTGCGGGGGTGTTCCAGTAACTGGACGCCGGAGGAGCTGCTGCCGACACAGTACCCAGCGTTGGAGCCCCGTAGGGTCCCTAGCACTGACACCTGGCCGCTGGGGATCCCGGTAGTTACGTGAAAACTCTCCCTAGAGGACCGCGTAGTTGACAGTGAGGAAGAGACTCCTAAGTGCCTGTTTGCAAGACAAGTTTAATTTTAGGTGACTAAAGCTCCCCAGCAGGGTCACAGAAGGGCGCCTCATTTTGGAATTTGAGGTGTGACGTACATTATCCCGTGCTGTGTGCTCCTTGGCCGGGGGCCCAGAGAGGCAGAGGGCTCCTTCCTTTACATAAGGCCCCTTTAGCCTCACGAGAGGGTGCAGACGGAGCCATGCACCCATGCTCCCCACCCACCCAAGGCAGGAGCCACAGGGCCTGTGGGCTGTGCCGCTGTATCTGCGAGGCCGGCTCCTGGGCACATGACTTCTCTGTCCCCTGTGAGAGTCGGAGAAAGGGCAGAGGTCGCTTTAGCCCCCCCAAGCCCCTCCCTTTTCGTGTTGTCTGTTTCGGGGGCCGGGTGGGGTCAGGGTCTGGGGCCCTCCTGTGACTGGGGCTTGAAGGTGGCCCGTTGGTTGATTCTGCAGTGCTTTTTATGCCGGGCATCATTCCAAACATGTTGGGATTTAATCTTTGCAGTGAGGCTGTGAGAGGGGAAAGATTGATTTTTACCCCCATTTCGCAGATGAGGAAACTGAGGCTAAGGGAGGTGAAGCAACTTGCCCAAGGACGCACAGGCAGACAGGAGTTGAGCTGTAATTTGAGCCCAGGCCACCTGGCTCAGGGGCCTTGTTCTGACCATGGTGTCCCATTGCCCAAGGGCAGAGGTGACCTGCAGGCGGGACCTGGCCCACGGATGTGTTCCAACCCCACAGTGGTTTGATTTATTTATTTTTCATTGAGGTAGCTGTCAGCACTAAAGGTCAGGAGATGACACATAAAAATCTCGTTTCTGGCTTTCCCTGGCAAGTCCGCACCTCTGAGAGTTCTGGCCCAGACCCCATGGAAGCCATCCCCTAGAGGTGAAGGAACATGTCCAAGGCCGCCTCGCTCAGGAGGCTGCCCCCTGAGGAGCCCCTGGTCAGTCTGAGGCCTCTGTAGGGACAGGGGCCACCATGGCTTTAGCAGGGCATGCCTGGGGAGAGGGGTCCCAGGGCTGGAAAGGAGTAGCCCAGCCTGTCCACTAGAAAAGACAGTGTGAGCTGCACGTGTGAGCTCTGTATGTAATTCAGACTTTCCTAGTAGCCACATGATAAAAGGCAAACACGAAGCAAAGAGAATTAATTTGTGATATATTTTATTTAACCCAGTTTACTCCAAGTACTATCATTTCAACATGCAGTCAATACAGAAAATTATTACAGATATTTTACTTTTTTTTTTTTTTTCATACCAAGTCTTCAAAACCTGGGGTGTACTGGTACTTTGTAGCACACCTAGGTTCACGCCAGCTGCATTTCAAGTTCCCAGGAGCCCCGCGTGGCTGGCGGCCAGCATGTTGGGACAGCGCAGGAGTAGACCTTTCCTGAGTCAGGAAGGGACACTGTGCAGGGGTCAGCCTCAGAGGGGCTGTCCTGCCCCATCTGACTCCAGCTGTGTCTTTGAAAGAGTGGACTTCCCTCTTCTGGAAAACCTGGGCAGTAAGCCTCTGTCTACAGGCTGAGGGGGAAAAGCAGGGGCACCTGTAAACCAAAATGCTAACGGTGGGGTTTTCTTCCAATAGTGAACTCGAGGGGAGCTTTTGCTTTGTTTTTGGCTCGGCTCTAGTCAGAATGTTTTTTCTAGTGTGTGTAAGTTTACCACTAAGATTATTTTATATTATATACATATCTCAGTGAAAAGGAGAAAGGCTGAAGGGAGCATGCACCTCACTCCCACTTCATTTTTGTGACACCCTTGAGTGCTTAGGTCTCTCAGCCTGGTTATTTTTACTCTCTCCAGCTTCACCGGAGTAAGAAATTCTACGACGAAGGTGCTCATAGCAACCAGCTCGCCCACACCCCACATTCCCCCCCGTTAAGGTATCATGCTGACTGCTTTGACTTGCGATGAAAATATTGTGACTAGTCACTGAAAATATTGTGACAGGCCAGAGAATTTAGGGTTACCGTGGAAACCTTCCCCATTCATTGTCCTCAGTGAGGTGGGCTTAGCCGAAGGTGCCTCAGCAGGACGGCCTGTTTCCCTTATGTCACTCCTCTGTGGCTCCCCAGTCAGTGGGCTGTGGGGCAGATCCAGGCATTTTGGGGGGGGGGTGCTGCCAGGTGGGGCATCTCAGTTCACCCTGTCCTGTCTTCAAGGCTGCCTGAGAGCCTGCAGTGTGAATGTGTGTGTGTGTAAGTATGTGTGTATGTGTGTGTTTTGTGTGTGGTGGGGGACACCAGGAGCACTGCAGAAGTGACAGGTGGCTGTCGGCCTCCAGAAGGTCACTTATGGACTGACAAGCGGGCAGGCCCGTTGTGGAAAGAACCAAGCCCAGCCTCCCCTCTCCTAAAACCGGCCTTAGGCTTCATAAAGCCGGAAATAGTGTTTGAACCCAGGTGACTGGGAAGAGCCTCCTTCTCCCCTGGACCACAGAGATGCAGCCTGAGAGACACGAGCCTTTGCTTTCTGTCCTCCTCTCATGACTCTCTTGTGGCTCTGGGGTCTGTGTGCATGAGGGGCTGGGGCTATGGGACTCGGTCATGGCAGGGGGCTTAACCTTGCTGGGCCGTGCAGGGTGAGAACCGGACCAAGCAGTTTGCTGGAAAAAGAAGGAAGGAAAAAAGTAGCTGTGGGGAAAGTATGCTTAATTCTGATCATTTTGATGATAACATAGGAGGGGGCATCTCCCCCAATCCAGGAAAACAGCCTTTCTTTCCTCGGGGACCTCTCCCGTCTGCTCTCTTTGGGCAGTTGAGAGGACGGTGCAGGGACCCGTAGTCTAGTCCATTTCTCAATACTCCGAAAGAGCTTGAGGTACCCAGGCAGGCTCTGCACTCAGCCGGCACAGCCCCAGGCAGCTGGACAGCCCTCGGCTCTGCTTGGCCCTGCTGCTTCGAGGCAGAACCGGCTTGGTTGCTGGGTCTGAGGGTAAGTCCCTGCTCCTTCTCTCTCACTGCGCAGGGCCCCCGGACTCCGACAGCCCTCTCTACCTCCCCTACAAGACGCTGGTCTCCACGGTTGGAAGCATGGTGTTCAACGAGGGGGAGGCCCAGCGGCTCATCGAGATCCTGTCCGAGAAAGCTGGCGTCATTCAGGACACCTGGCATAAGGTGGCTCCACCCTCCCTGCTCTCCCCTTAGAGCTGGCGAGCTGCAGTACTCGCCTGGTCCTGGGGCCCCAGCCTCCCCTGAATGATCCCGTTGGGCTGGCCGCAAGCGGCTTGCCAAGCTGCACAGAGGTCATAAAATAGCCTCCGCTTGCCTCTCGGCAGAACCCTGCCACCCCTATTCAGACACAGGCTGCATGACTCACCCCAAGTTCACTTCGGCTTCTACCCCAGCCCAGCCACAGAGACAGGAAGGCCGTGACAGGCCAGGGCCAGGCTCTGTGTTACACGCGCCTGAGGGGGAACACGGGAGCTGCGGCCCAGCTGGCTTGTGGCCGGGGCTCGGGTGCAGAACAGAAGGTGTAGGGATACACTGCGTGGGGGGGGGGGGGGGCCCTGTGACGGTCTTGGAAGCACCTTCCTCTGCTGTCCCACTGCCACTGGGGGCCAGCTCAGAGGCTTGCACCTGCCCTGTGGTGGTGGTGACGAGTGAGCTGCCCCTGGGAGGTGCTGCATGGCACGTGCTTGTTCCTTATTCCAGAGTCGGAACTGTAGGTAATTGTGCTAGAGAATTTTGTGGCACCCTAGTGGTTACTGATGTTGGGGGGTATCCTGAGAGCCAGGCCAGTGACCCCTGCCCTGAGGCCAGTGGGGCTTAATCCCTTCCTGGCCCTCGCTGAGGTGGACACGTCGTGCAGTCACAGGGGAGCTCCTTCCTCAGTGGGCTTGGGGGAGGGAAGGGTATCTCCTGGCGTGTGAGTGACTGGAGGTCAGGAGGACCACTCCTCCAAGGAGACAGGCCCAGACTCACCTCAGGCCACTATCCCCAGAGTAGACCTCCCCTCCCAAGGTCTCCACACTTCAGCTAGCAGCCTGCAGGCTTCACACAGCAGCTAAGGGGTGGGCACCGGAAGCGATGACTCATTGCCCCTCGGTGGGGTAGGAAGAGGCCCTGGCCACCATTGGTCCCAGTTAATGGGAAACACCATGCCCCTAAAAACTAGCCCAGAGAACTGAAGCTTTTGGTCTAAACAGCTCCTAAGTACAGTGGGCCTAGAGGCCTGGCAGCCCGGGTGGCTGAGGTCGGGGTGCCTTTCCCAGAAGTGAGTGGAGTCAGGATAGAACCGGCTCATCTAGAAGCCCCATCCCGCTTGATCAGGGCCCTGCTGTCTCTTGTCCTGGGTCCTGGTCTGATTGCTAGGGCGGGGGGACGTAGCCCCTCTGTTAACACTGCTCTGTGGGCACTTGTAGGCCACTCAGAAGGGCGACCCCGTGGCAATTCTGAAGCGCCAGCTGGAAGAGAAGGAAAAGCTGCTGGCCACAGAGCAGGAGGACGCGGCTGTCGCCAAGAGCAAACTGAGGGAGCTCAACAAGGTACAGCAGCGTGCGCGCCCTGTCCCGAGCACCCCCGGGCCGTGGCCAGTGCTGCCCCCGCATCGTGCGTCGGCCTTCCCGCCTTGGAGCCTGGCTCGGGCCTGCCGGCTGGTGACTGCCCCCCTGCACTGGGGTGTCTGTGGCTGGCTGGGAGCCTGACAACCTGCGGCCGGATCGCCTGTGGTGGCCCTTGGCTAGCTGTGGGGTGGCGGCACCCCCATGACCACGTGTCTAAGAACGCATGGATGTTAAGTTGGGGCTTAGGGCCCTCAGTTTGTGACGGGCTATCTTTTTAGGGTATGCACCCTGAAAGGAGGTTGGGCCCGGTGGATCCAAGGTGGTTTTGTTGAAAATTGGAGCAAAAACTTGTGGGGAGGGGAGTGAAGGAGCTGCTCTCCTCCCCTTTTCTGCTGTCTGTGGAGCAGACCTGCGGGGAAGGGGCTGGCTCCTTAGCATCAGCTGACGGCTTGCCACCCAGGTAACACTTGTACTTCCTGAATGATAGTCATGGGTCCGTGCTGCCGCCAAGGGCTGGGGGCGTCATTCACGATGTGTCAGGACACATGACACAAGGGGCCACTCCCCTCACCCCCGGCCACCCCTGTCAGAACTCACTGGGCTTTGTCCCATGCCTCTCTCTTGAGAGCCCTACGGGGCTGGTTACACCCAGTTCGAAAGCTGTCTTTTTCAGTAAAATTCTGTGGTTTGCTCTCACCCTCCCGCCGCTTACCTGCCTCTTCTGTCTGGGCGGCAGGCCCAGGGAGATGGCCTAGGACTGGTGATGTCCCACGCGGTCTGGCCTTCCTCAGGGCCCCTCCATCTGCTTGTTCGAGAATAGTTGGGAACAAGGTAGCCTGAGTTTCTGACCCCAGTTGGAGGGACGTGAAGTTTGTGCAGTGGGGATGGCAAGAGCAGAAGATGAACCTCTGGGTGGTTACTCTTGGTTAATGCTCCACCCAGGAGAAGAAAAGAAAAAGGCAGGTCTCTTTGGCCTTCCTTAGAGCTTAGTAGGCTTCTGCCCGGTGGGCCCCATCGTCTCTGTCAAGACTCTCCGCATGCAGCCTTCATGTGAGCCCTTCTTGGCTCGTTGGTTAAATGCAGGGGGAGCCACTCGCCCTGCTGCCAGGAGCTGGCTGTGCAGCCTCCCCCACTTGGCTGGTGGTGCGCCATGGGCTAGAGCGGATGTGCCATGAAAGAGGGCCAGCTGGGCAGCACACCAGTGGTTAAGTCTGGTTTTGGGGGGCCTTCCTTCTGTATCCTCTTTCTGGACAAACTGAGAAATCCCTGTGAAATTTGTTGACCTCCCCCCGCAAATAAAGGTCAAGTGATCACAGGAGCGAGCATTCCCACAGCTGCTCAGCCGTGTGGCTGTCTGGCTAGTTCCTTGTGCCTGCCCCCTTGAATTTAGGCTGAGCTGGAGGTGTGATGCATGAGTGGGTGCAGCCTCTGACAGTCACAGTGGCCTGTTTCTTCTCCATTCCTGGGGTCTCCAGCCACCGAGGGCAGGGCAGCGGGTGCAAGGTGGGAGTGTACCCCACAGGAGAGCCCTTAGATGCTGCCCCTCATGCTGGACATTTACTGCTCTCTCTCTCGGTGGTGGCCGCTTGACAAGATTTCCAAAACCACAGTGGCAGCCCACCTGATAGAGTAGTTCCCAGTCTACAAGCTGCAGGGCTCTGAGACACGTGGGGACACCCCCTTGGTGCTCATTACCCATCCTGCTCTGAGGTGTCCAGCCAGGCCCCCTTCCCCTGGCCATACCCTCCTCCCTGCAGCCCCAGGAGGCCCTTTTGGGCTCCTGATTGCTGACGTGGTCCCGTGAGGCCCTCTTTAAGCTCTGTCAGTGGCTCCTAATCCTCAGACCAGAGCTTGCACCCCTGAGCGCCCACTCCATCCGCTCCCCCAACACGTGGCCTTTCGTTGCCGCCCCTGGGCCTCTCCTCCTGTCCCTTCGTTAGCCTCAGAGGCCTTTCACTGTGTAGCTGGTTGGAAATTTTCTCCTTATCCTTGAAGACTCCTTTGGCCTCCCTCCCTTGGGAAGCCTTCCAGAGCCCTGTTTTCTTCTCCCAGATTCTGGAGGTCATCACTGCAAGCATGTGTCATTGTATCTGTCCCCTGTGATCCTGGCCACCTTGCCTGGCTTGGCCTCGCAGGCTGCTTGTTAGTGAGTGGTCACCGAGGCCCAGGGCCAGCACACAGCTCAGAGGAAGCCTTCCCAGCCCTGGGTGACGTATCTCCCCCAGGGCTCCGTGAGGTCAGCTGTAAAATGGGGATCGTGACCCCCATCTTACTGAGAGGAAGGAGTGAGACACCCGCTTGTGTCAGAGTGGATGCACAGTGGTGGCCACCTCTCCCGTTCCGGTAGATAATCAGTGAAGTGTCCCTTGGCGTGGACCTCATGCTCCTGTGGGCTTGCCCCCTGGCCAGGGCCAGGAAGATGATTGTGTGAATGGTGAGGCCATGGGGTCCCAGATGGTCTCAGGGAAGGCCGGGCACCCATAGCAGCTCTGGCGCCCAGCGGCCACCCCATCTGCCTAGCTCCTCCCCTAGCCTCTGATTTGCTCCCGTCCCATCCCCGGGGGACACTCTGGCCCTTGGGGATGGGTCTCCCTGGCAGCCCTGGCCTGGAGAGCAAGAGGATTTCCCACTTCTCTGGTCTCCTGCCTGGGATAGGGATGGGACAGGGCCTGGAGTCTGTGAGATGCTTGGTCACCGTGGTTACCCAGGCTAGTTGGGCCCACACCAAGTAGTTGTCAGCCTGGCTGGAGGCCCACTGGACGGGGAGCACCCCCAGCCCCAAGGGCCTTTCTTCAGTTGTCACTCTGCTTTCCATGGCTTCCGGCCATTGCCATTCTTTCAGGAATGACATAGACTCCAACCAGCCCCTCTCCCTTGACCAGCCCTTCCCACCCTGTGCTCTGCCTCTGCCTGAGGCTTTGGGTCCTCAGGCCCAGCATCCTGTGCTCATTATGGGCATCTGATGCTGAGCAGAGCAGGTGCTCCCTAGGCTGGGTGGAAGGACCGAGCAGCTGCACTGGAGACCCAGGCCCTCCAGGAGTGGGGCCAACCTCCTAGTCATGGTGGGACGGGCATTGTCTCTTTCCCCGCCCCAGCATCAAGGCTCACTGCCTCTTCGGTCCTGATACAAGCCCTCGAGTAGGCCGTTCCGGGGCCCGGATGTCTGGGACCCAGCCTAGCCAGGGTGCCGTCACCCCAGCAGGGCTGAACCAGTAGTCCAGGAGAGCACAAGACCATGTGGCGTGTTTACACAGCTTTCTGGGTCCGCTGCCTTCATGTGGCCAAAGCCTGACATCGAGCCTCCAACCGGTGAGGCCAGCAGGGTTTTCCGGGGACCCCTCGTTGTCTCCTGCTGGTTCTCTATGGTGGTCGGCTTGCTGTGTCTGGGAACTCAGGAGGGAGGCCAGCCCCAGGTGATGAGGTGATGTGTGGGCTGTGAGGACATTGGTCCCGCCGGACAGGCTCCCGCCCTCGCTCGCCTAACCGCCTCTCTGCCCTCCGCGCTCTCCTAGGAGCTGGCCGCGGAGAAGGCTAAGGCAGCAGCCGGGGAGGCCAAGGTGAAGAAGCAGCTCGTGGCCCGGGAACAGGAGATCACAGCCGTGCAGGCGCGCATGCAGGCCAGCTACCGGGAGCACGTGAAGGAGGTGCAGCAGCTGCAGGGCAAGGTGGGCCGCAGCTGGGGGGCCCGGTCAGTGGGCGCTGGAGGATGCTGGGAAGGGGGGGACGGTCTTCAGAGGGCAGGAAATGAGGCTCCCTCGGGGCCACCGTAGGCTGTGGCTTGGTGTCAGAGCACTTAACACAGCTTTATCAGAGGCAGCGAGCACGGAGCGGGCCTGCGGCTCGGGCTGAGTGCTTGCTGCCTGGAGGCTGTCAACAGGGAGGCGGAGGGGAGAGAGGAGACACGTGCTGGGGGTCCCCCCGCCTCAGACGCTGGCACTGGGCAGTTTTTTGTTTTTAATTTTTTTATTCTTATATTATCCCCATACATTGCATCATTAGTTTTAGACGTAGTGTTCCATGATTCATTGTTTGTGCATAACACCCAGTGCTCCATGCAGAATGTGCCCTCCTCAATACCCATCACCAGGCTAACCCATCCTCCCACCCCCCTCCCCTCTAGAACCCTCTGTTTTTCAGAGTCCATCGTCTCTCATGGTTCGTCTACCCCTCCGATTTCCCCCCTTCATTCTTCCCCTCTGCTACCTTCTTCTTCTTTTTTTTTTTCTTAACATATATTGCATTATTTGTTTCAGAGGTACAGATCTGAGATTCAACAGTCTTGCACAATTCACAGCGCTTACCAGAGCACATACCCTCCCCAGTGTCTATCACCCAGTCACCCCATCCTTTCCACCCCACCCCCCACTCCAGCAACCCTCAGTTTGTTTCCTGCGATTAAGAATTCCTCATATCAGTGAGGTCATATGATACATGTCTTTCTCTGTTTGACTTATTTCGCTCAACATAATACTCTCCAGTTCCATCCACGTCGTTGCAAATGGCAAGATCTCATTCCTTTTGATGGCTGCATAATATTCCATTGTATATATAGACCACATCTTCTTTATCCATTCATCTGTCGATGGACATCTTGGCTCTTTCCACAGTTTGGCTATTGTGGACATTGCTGCTATAAACATCGGGGTGCACATACCCTTTCAGATCCCTACTTTTGTATCTTTGGGGTAAATACCCAGTAGGCACTGGGCAGTTTTAAGGGGTCCTCCTCACCTCTGGTGTGGAGAAGGTAGTGCCCTCGGTGCATTTGTCTGTGGGCTGGGACCTCACTGGCCTGGCTCCAGAAGCCGGCTGTCTCTGATGCCCCTTCACTGACTTCCAGATCCGGACTCTTCAGGAGCAGCTGGAGAATGGCCCCAACACGCAGCTGGCCCGACTGCAGCAGGAGAACTCCATCCTGAGGGATGCCTTGAACCAGGCCACGAGCCAGGTGGAGAGCAAGTAAGCTCAGCACCCCCTTCAGACAGCACGAGGGCCCGTGTCTGGGGCTCTGGAGCTGGGGAGGGTTCCCCAAGCCTCCCTCAAGGCTGTGCAGGTGCACTCTAGGTTCTTACTGGATGTGGGGCAGGTGTGGCAGCCTTGTGTGGGCCCCCCACGTGAGCACATGGGGCTGGCGGTGCCCTTGCACACCCACCCCGTTGAGGTCTCTGGCCTGACCCTCCATCCCCCTGTCTGGTTCTGAGTGGCCGAGCCTTCCGGTGCATGGCCGGCATCCTCACACGTGGTCAAGGCCCCAGGGAGAGTTGGCGAGCCCCAGCCTGCCCGGGCCCAGTGTCCATGTGATCAGGGGCCTCTCAGGTCCTGGCCGGTGCCGGCATCTGGACTTCCCAGGGAGCAGATATTTCTTTCATGTCCGTCTTCACAACATCCTGATAGGAGGCTTTTCAAAACTTCTGATGCTGGCCCAGAGTATCAGGGGCTAGCAGAGTGTCCAGGATCAGAGTTTGGTGGGGATATGGGGACCTCTGTAGGCCTGAGCCCCTGGATTCTCCACTGGAGATGGGGGCTCCTGTGCAGGAAGGGACATTTGCCTCTGCCGCACTGGTAGTAAGGAGTAAATACCTCCACAGCCCGCGGCCCGGCTGGCTTAGCGGGGCTCTTGCTCTCAGCCTTGCCTGTCAGGAGCTCAAGTTCCAGGGGTCTGGTGAGCCAGCCGACCCCCCGGGGCAGCAGTGACCTCACCAAATGAAGGGCAGTGTGGCTCAGACTTCTGATTTGAGCATTGCAGTCTCAACAGGCTGGCCCAGAAGAAGCCCCACTGCGTTTTCTTTTGAGTCACACTTTCTTGCCTTCTCTTGACCTGAAGTCTCCCAAAGGGACTTTCTGGGGTTCTGTGTCATCCCCAGAGCATTCCCGGTTGCCGAGAGGGGCGCTGGCAAAGACAGAGGGCACTGGTGTTCTCTGTCCTTTAGCTGCAAGTCAGGTGGGGACACTGTTGGCCCAGGAGCTGGACCGGGGAGGGGAGTCTGTGTCCGTGTGTCTGGTTTTGCCGGGAGCTGGGCGGGGGGCAGATTCTGATCTAAAGGCCTCCTTCCCCTTCTGTCTGGAGGTCCCCTCTGGGTGTGTGTGCGTGCACATCTTTGTCTCCGGCCTGGCCTGTCAGCAGGCTGGGGGTTGGTTGGTGGGGGGGGGGGTGGCTGTGGTTCCTTAGCAGCTACAAGCAGAAGGTGAATGTGGGGAGGGAGGGACGCTCTGGCATCCCCTGTCACGTAGAATCCACTGCAGCCTCCTGAGAAAGCTAGGAGCCTGTAGACCTGTCACTCTGAGGTGGCAGCCACTGACTCATTCGTGGAAGCTCTGCCCTGTGTGTGGCTGGTGGCCCCGGGCCCTGCCCAGAGCTCCAGAGCAGTCCCAAAGGCCACCCACCGAGCCTCCTACCTTCGGCCCCCGGGTGCTGGAGTCCAGCCTTTCCTGTAAGCCCTCCCGTCTTGAATCTTGGCCTTCTAGAGCGTGAGCTGATGGCCCTGCAGAGGGCTTTGGGATGGCCACCCTGGTGCAGCTGGGAAAAGCCAGATGCAGAGAGGTGGGAGCCACCTACGCATTGACCAGCAGAGCACAGCTGCTCCTGGCCGGGCTTCTTGCCTCCACCTGGTCTGCTGCCACCTTGCAGCGTGGTGGGCAGTCTTGTCTGTCCCCTTTGTCTGTCCTGGTACTGGCCCTTGGCTGGACAGTCGATCCTGCCTTGAAGAGGTGTCTTGTGTCCTAGTGAAGGAGGCCTCCTCACACTGGGGAAGGCAGGTCTGGAGCTGCCTTTCTTCTTTTAATCAAGTCTCCTTCTTTCACTTCTGTACTTGTCACAGGTCCTGAGATCCAGCTTTTGCACAGTGTTGAAGGGTCTGTTTGGTCAAGTGCCTCAGCTCCCCACTTCCGGTGGCCTGCGGGCCTAGCTGTGGTCTAGTCGGCGAGGGAAGTGGGGCGCGTGGGTTCCGGCTGGCTGCCCCCTCCCTGCCCTGCAGGGGTACTGTGGCCAGTCAGCCTGCATCTGGAGCTTGTTTGGTTCTAGATCAGGAGTGAGGAGAAGGGGTGCCTTGCCCCCTTTCTCTGAATTTTCAGCTGTTTCTGGGCGGGGTTGCCTTGGAATATTGCCGTGCACGTTTTGCTCTTTGCTCTGTATGGTCCACACACTGTGCCGGTCGGAGAACGTCTTCACCAACACACATCAGAACTCAACACGACTATAGAGTACAAGAGGCTTCGGTAATGGCTTCAGGACTTGGGCAACCACTCGTGAAAGAGCAGGTGCCCTGGAGGGAAGGCGCGCCCTCCGGCCCCCATCACCCAGGGGCAGCTCTTGGGGCTGGCGGGAGCGGACCCGAGGCTGCTTCTGCCCTGCAGTTGGGGGCTGGTGGCTGTCTTGCAGGCAGAACGCCGAGTTGGCCAAGCTCCGGCAGGAGCTCAGCAAGGTCAGCAAGGAGCTGGTGGAGAAGTCGGAGGCTGCACGGCAGGAGGAGCAGCAGCGAAAGGCTCTGGAGACCAAGACGGCCGCCTTCGAGAAGCAGGTCCTGCAGCTGCAGGTGAGTGAGGGAGCCGCCCCCTCGGCGCCCTGCGCACTCCGCCCACTCTGTGCCGGGTGGTGACAGACCAGAGCTTGCTCAGCCACTTTGGGTCATCGCTGGCAGCCAGGATTTTGGCAACGGGCGGCCCATGCATGGCTCGGGCAGGAACGTTCAGCCTGGGTCTCGCTAGTAACAGGGAGAGCTAGGTTGCAAGGAATGGGTGCTTTCAGCGTGGTAAGCGTTGTCCTCAGTGCTCCGTGAGCGTTAACTCGGCTAATTCGCATCCTAACCCCATGAGGTAGGTGCTATTATCTGTAATTACCCGTAAGGAAATCTGAGGCACAGAGAAGTTAAGTAACTGGTCCCAAGTTCACGCGGAGGCGGGGTTTGAACCCTTGGGTCTAGCCCCAGCGCTGTTGGCCCCCACCTGTGGTACCGCCGTCTCTGGCTTCGGGGCTGGGCATGTACTCTTCCTTCTCAGCCTCTGGCTGTGGCCTGGAAGCTCTTGTCTTCCCAGGAAATTGGCTGTTCTCCCTCAGAGGGAGGAAGGTGGTCCCCGTCCCCAAAGTGCACTGGGCAACATCAGCCCAGGGGCTTTGCTGATGCCTGTTGGCCTGATGACTTCTGGATCCCCCAGCTGGCCAGTTTGGGGGCAGGATGACTGGGTGTGGGGAGCCTTGATGTCACGCCTGCTGTGCATTTAACTTTTCGGGATGAGGAGGAAATCCTGTGGGCCCTTCTTCAGTCACAGAAGTTGGGCCACAGCACATGGGACAGTGGGGCTGTCTTGTGGAAGGTACTAACACGACAGATGTGAGGACTGATGCTTGGGTGTGTACAAGGTACTAAAAGGGAACACGGTTTGGATGGTTTGGGTGGAATGGAGATGGATAATTTGGTGTGTGCTGATTTTCATGTAAGGGAGGTCTGCCCCTACCAGTGAGATCAGCACCCCCGGGGTGGGCCTGGCCATGATTATGTTTTAAAGGTTTCTGGATAGTTCTGCTTCTGGGGCTGGAACCTCCACTCTGGCCCCTAGCTTGCCACCATTAACGTGTGCCATTGCTAAAGGACCAAGGCCTCGGCCTGGCTTTCACCAGTAAGCCCCAGATGCTGAGCGTCTCCTGTCCTCCGAGGCCTTGGGCTCCCATCCGCAGCCTGTGGCCACAGAGACTCCCATCTCCTCCCTGACACCAGAGATTCTGGGAGCGGCTGACCACAGGTGGTGAGGGAGGGCGGGGCGTGTGGCTGCCTTCTCTGTGGTCCTGGGGTTGTCCATGAGGCCCCTGGTATCTGCTGGGGATTTCAGAGCCTCAGTGTCCCCATCTGTAACACGGGCATGACCATGGTACCTGCGTCATGGGCCGGATGGGGATTAACCATACCAATGCACACACAATGCCTAGAATAGGGCTTTTCCAGAAAATGAGCTCAGTAGATGTGGACCTTGGAAGGGCCCACATAGGAAATCTCCAAGTTAGACTGGAGGTTTAGGTCGCAGGAAGCCTTTCTGTGTCACACTGATGTCGAAATGGGGCTTTTTCTTGTTTGCAACCACTCTTCTTCACCTGGGGCCCCTCCCCGAGAATTTACGCTTCAGGTGCCGGGGTGGGGGGCCCTCCTGGCCTTCTCCGTGGGTGAGCCGACATCAGAAACCCAGGCGCATTTTATAATGGTTGTTGGGGCGGCTTGGCAGGATGTGAAGAGCTCTCTGTGGTCCTTGGCCTCAGAGCCAGCTGAGGGTCCAGCCTCCGTCCGGCCTCCTCACGGCCCTCTTCCGTCTGCCCGGTCCCCAGGCGTCCCACAAGGAGAGTGCGGAGGCCCTGCAGAAGCGCCTGGACGAGGTCAGCCGGGAACTGTGCCGCTCCCAGACAAGCCATGCCGGCCTGCGGGCGGACGCCGAGAAGGCCCGGGAGCAGGAGCAGCGGACGGCCGGTGAGGGCGGCCCCTTTGGTCCGAGGCCCCGAGCGGGCCTGTAGACCTGCGCCAGATGTGGGTCCGCTCACCGCCCCGGCCCCGCTGCCAGGCTGGAACCCCCACAGTGAGCCAGCCCTGTTGGCGAGTGAGGCGGCATGGGATCCCTGACTCTGCCGCTCGGGGAGTCGTGAGGTGGTGGTAGCGCTCCGCCAGGTGAAGCGTTGGGGGGCGGGCAGGGCAGAGCCGCCAGGACCGGGTGCCAGGGTGGAGCTTATGAGCGCTGGGTGCGAGGGGCAGAGCTTGCGGGCTGGGCTGGGGAGTTGAGGTGTGGAAGGTGCCTCCAGCTGGAGCCTCCCTTGCCACGGGGCCCAGCCTGGAGCTGCGGTTCGGGGTGAGCTGCAGCACCCTGAGGCCTTCGCCGACCTTCTCGACTGCCTCCTTTTGGACCTTTCCGGCTTTGCTGGCTCACTCAGCCCAAGAGGCCGGGTTCAGAAGGTGGGCCCGCGGTCTCCCTAGGCCTGTAGGTGACCTTTGCCATCAGAAGAGCGTGGCGTAGTGGGGGATGCCGAGGGCCCCTGGAGAAATAGAGCAGAGGGGGCCAGTGATGGCTCATGAGTATGGGCTGAGCACTGCCATGGGCACCCAGGGTTTGGCCAGGAGTGAAGCAGAGGCAGCCGGGCCCCGTTCTAGCAGGACAGACAGACACAGGTAGATGGCCATGCATCGACCAGTCACGTAGCGCTGAGCTCTACAGACTTCGAATAGCCAACGTGACCCAAAGCAGGGTTGGTGTGCTATTTCTTTGAAGAGCCATGCATGGGGTCTGTCACAATTGCTCAGCTCTGCTGCCCTAATGCAAAAGCAGCCCCAGACAAGGTATAAACAGACAGACCTGGCTGTGTTCCAATAAAGCTTTATTTACAAAAGCAGAGAGTGGGCCAGGAGTAGCCCTTGGGGTAGTTTGCTGACCTCTGAATGGGCCAGGTGTGGCTTTAGATTGGGTGATCAGGGAAGCCTGTCCGAGGCAGAGGGAATGTTCAAGTCAAGTCTGGGTGACGGGAAGGGAGGGGCTGGTCTCATAAAGACCAGGAAGAGGCAGAATGGCCAGCGTAGGGCCCCTGAGAATGGGAATGAACTTGAACTTGGCCTGTGTAAGAAACAGATGCATAAGGTAGGTGTGACTGGAACAAGAAGGCAGTTGGCCAGTGTGGGGCCAGAGGGCAGGGCCCAGGTCACCCCCCTCCCTGTGAAGTTTGGGTGCTGGGTGGTGTGGTGGGAGCACTCAGCACCCTGTCTGGGACGGAGATGGCATGAGCCCATTGTACTTCCGGATGCTTTGGCGCTGGGTGGAGAATGGACCAAAGGAGCAGGAGTGGCTCAGGGGACCAGGGCTGGAGCTTTTGCAGTCATTCTGTTCAAAGGCAACAGGCTGGGCTCAGGCGGCCCCAGGGGTGCTGGTGAGCCAGGGAGGGATTTGGGAGGCGGTGGATGTGGAAGCCACAGGCCTCGCTGGCCTGTGAGAAGTGGGGGGCACGGGGAAGTGGAGCAGCTGGACTAGGAGACTGGGGGTGCTGGCGGGAATGCTGGCTTCCAGGTGCCCGAGCAGAACTCGGCTGGTACGAGCCAGTCTCCCAGAGAACAGATGTTTAACAACTCCGGCTGGAATCCATTTTAGATTTCCAGCATTTTTCCAGGAGTGATCTGAGGGCATCATGTGTCCTAGAGAGCAAAGGCTTTGTCCTTTGTGTCCATCATGTGTCCTAGAGAGCAAAGGTCCCTAGAGAGGTACTTTGTCCATCAGCTAGTAAGATGCCCCAATGGTCACAACTGTGTCTTAGCAGCCTAGGCACACAGAGGGGCCAGGGGAGGGAACCCTGGGTGCTGTGTGCAGAGGAGAGGTGGTGGGGGTGTCCATCTTAGTGTTTCCCGCCCCTATCCACCCTTGCTGTCCTTTCCCTCAGAGCTGCACAGCAAACTGCAGTCCTCCGAGGCGGAGGTGAAGAGCAAGTGCGAGGAGCTGACCGGTCTCCATGGGCAGCTCAAAGAGGCAAGGGCCGAGAACTCGCAGCTCACGGAGAGAATCCGGTCCATTGAGGCCCTGTTGGAGGCGGGCCAGGCCCGGGACACCCAGGCCGCCCAGGTCAGCCTGTGGAAGAGGAGGGAGAAGGCCACAGTCCATCCTGCCGAGTAGAGAGGGCTGACAGTGGATGGGGCCCTGTCCTGACTAGTTGGCACGGGGGGCTGGTCTCACGGTGACTACAGCGCTTTCTGTCTCTCGTTCCAGGCCAGCCAGGCGGAGCAGCAGGCCCGGTAAGTGGAAACGGAGGGCCACAGCCTCAGCCTGGGGCAGTCAGGCCTTTTGATGGGGCGCACAGACCCCTGACAAAGCCGCCACAGGGGCCCTTGCCTTTCTCCGCTCCCTCCAGTGGCCCTGAGGACAGGGAACAGACCTGGGCAAGAAAGAGGGTCATCCTTGCAAAGAGCTCCTTGCCTCCTCTGGAGGAGCGAGACTCATCTGTGTGTGAGTGGCAGGTGCCTCAGCCGGGGGGGTTCTAGACCTTCTGCTTCCTCCCGTCTGTCCATCCATCTGTGTCTTGGACGAAGGACTAGCTGGTCAGAGGGTCTCCAAGGGGAGGGTTATACACCCAGATGGAGAACCCGGGTTGGGGGAGAGGGGTCACTCGGCTTTCTGCCCAGATTTGCAATGTCGGTGCAGTTGGGAGCTAAGCCACAGGATTGTGCACAAGGTAACTTCAGTGCTGACAGACCTTGTTTTCTCTCGGCATTGGTGAGTGACCCAACACCGGGCTGTGCTTGGGGGACTGTTCGTTTGCTGTTGCTAAGGCTGGAGCCGACACCTGGGGGGAATGGCTTGAGTTGGGGGGCTCTGAGTCCCTGGCCGTCACCTCTGGAACATCCATCCCTGGGCAGATGGCCACAGGCTTGGGAGCTGGGTCCTGGCTGCCATGGCCAGGGCTCCACAGGGTAGCCACCGGCGGAGAGGCATGAAGGGTGGCCTAGACTGTCAGCTGACAAGGTTCCCTGGGCGGCTGCCAGTGAGTCCCCTCCCCTTTGCCTCCTCAGGCCCTGGCCCTGGTTCTTTCTTAGCTTCAGGCTCCATGTTTGGGGGCTGAGGAAGGAAGCCAGAGAGCCCAAAATGCTTTGTGGAAGACCCAGAACCAAGCTCTCCATGTCCGTTTCCCAGTGTGCGGCTTCGCAGAAAGCTCAGGTGGACTTCGTTTCTCGTGGTATTTGTTGGAGCAGAGAGGTTGTGTTTGATTAGGGTTTTTTGGGTTTTTGGGGGTTTTTTTTGCTTTTGTATTTTAAGATCAGATTCTTGGACCACACAGGGAGCACACAGCAAATGTGTAGGGTGCTTAAGTCACCTTGCAAATATGGTTAATCCTAATTTTTTGCAGCGTGCAGATGTGTTTAGCAGAAATTGGTTTTTTAAGTGTTCTGAATTTGTCAGAAAATTGTGTCTAGGTCAGGCCATCCTGTTCTGGGTGGAGATGAGTGATCCCACCCCGGTGTTCTGGAACTTGGGCAGTGGCCACCCAGGGGGTGATCGTCGGCGTGTCCTTGCCACCTGCCAGCTGCCTCCTCCTCCTCGGGGGCTTGTTCTTTTGGGTTTGCTCGTGGGGTGGTTTGCTGCAGGCGCTTACATGACGCAGGGGGCTTGAGGGAAAAGCTGTGAGGGCTCCCAGCACAGCTTTAAGGGTGGGGTCAGAGGTTCCTTGGGCCTGAAACCAAGACCCAAGGAGTCAGCTGACTTGAAGGCCTTCCCGAAAGCCGGTTTAGAGTAACGAGGCGAGGCAGTGCCATGCTGGGAGGCCACTCCCAGGCAGGGTGCTCAGCCTGCACTTAGATTGCTCAGCCCTAAGATGCGTTAGAATGGTGGTTTTCAAAGCGTTTTTGACCGTGGCCCATGAGAACAAATACAGGTCAATATGTCCTCATCGGGCTGGCAGCAGGCCCCTGAGGCTGGCAGCAGCCCCTTCCGGTGGGCACATCCTTGGGTGGGGGCTTCCTTCCCAATTTCAAGTCCAAGTTAATCACTTCTAGACTTTAGATTTCATGTGTTCCTTGGACCTTCCCTGTCCTAAAACTTAATGCAGAACCTGACATACAAAAGTGCCTGTTTGAAGCCTGTTCCTCGGAATGGCTAGGCCAGCTTTAGCAGCATCAACCTCTCACTCTCTGGACGATGAGGGTGCTCGAAGCCCACTGGGCTCTTGAGTGTGGAGAGAAGCATGAAAAGATGGGACTGACATCTCACCTGTGCCATGGCGTCTGGGGGTCATCTGGGGCTGATTCCCCGGAGCCTGGGCAGAGACCTGAGGGAGGAGCCTTTGGGTCTCAGCAGAGTTAGGTTTTGGACGAAGGATGGTTCTGCTGTATTTGGTGGAGAACAGTGGCGTCCGGAGTCTTGCTTGGGGGCTGGAGGGGGGAGGGGACAGCGCCACAAGAGTCTCCAGCTCAGTAGTCCTGTGAGAAGGCCCCGCCCATGTCTCTGGAGGGCCAGCTGACATGTTCTGTGGGAACAGAGCAGGACCACATTGAGTAGGAGCTGTGTACCAGGGGACAGGGCTCAGTTCACTAGAAGAGAAAGCTGGCTGGGTATATCCCTTCCCTGGCCACTGCGTTTGCTCTGACCTCTGCCATCCCAGCAGCCTGTGTCACCAGGCAGAACTCTGGTGGCCTTTTGGGGCTGCATGTAGCCAGGCCCCCGGGCCGTTGAGATGAGTGGGGAGGATGGGGCGGGGGTGGTTCCTTGGGCTCCGCTGAAAGCTTGTGCCCTGTGAGGTGGTTGGGGGCAGCGGGAGGGGACTGACCCCAGCCAAGTGGCTCTGGGTGGGTGTCCAAGCAGCAGAAGGGGCCCTGCAGAGACAGGGCCTGGGGACACTGTGGGCACTGGGAGCCCAGCGGTGCCGTCCCTCTCTCCCTTCAGCCTCAAGGAGCTGGAGTCCCAGGTGCGGTGCCTGGAGGAGGAGGCCACTGAGCTCAAGGAGGCCGTCGAGCAGCAGAAAGGGAAGAACAACGTGAGTGCTGAGGGGCGCGGGCATGAGGCTGGGCTTGTGTGAACTGCAGCCCTTATCCCTCAGGAAGGGGGTTGGCCACCTCTTCACGTTCCATCGTGCTACTCGTGGCTGGAAGCCTGCCGACTTCCGGGGGCTTGGCGAGGCCTCCTTTCCCCTTGGGTCCATCACATTCTCAGGGCTGCCGCCCACTGGGTGGGCTTGGGTCCTATGCCCAAGCGTGGAGCCCCCTCCCCTGCCCCACCTCCCAGCCCTTGATGGGGTTGGGATGTCCTGCTTGGTCTGGTCTGGGGCACGTGGTTGCCTTGGAGTGGGGAGGCTGGTGTCGGGAGAAGGGGATAGAAAAGCCCCTTTCCTCTGCAGGGGTGCGGAGGGGTCTTAGCTGCATCCTCCCCGCCGGGCTGCCCCTCACTGCTCCTCACACAGCCCAGGCTTGCTGGCTGCCCCATCTGCTCTTCCTCGGGGAGCCCTCGCCTGCACCTCCCTGGGCCTGGCATGGCCAGAGCCACTCAGCGGTGGCAGGAGCCTCTGTCTGAGGAGCCAGGCTGACCCTCTCTTCTGTCTCCTTCAGACTAGAACCTCCCTGAAAGGATGCGCACCTCCTCACGCCCTCATACCACAGCCAATCCATAGCGGGCTGCCCCAGGGAGGCCCGCAACATGGGCCAAGACAAAGGGCATTTTGTCCCTTCGCAGCTCCCTATGGGCTCCCAAGTGGGGGTCAGGGACGGTCCTCCCGCCCTGCTGAGCCTGGCTGAGGCAGCTTGTGGGGGATGTGTCGGCGGCTGCCCCCACCTGGCCACTGACCTTTCCCACATCTCCTCCCAGGACCTCCGAGAGAAGAACTGGAAGGCCATGGAGGCCCTGGCCTCGGCCGAGAGGGCCTGCGAAGAGAAGCTACGCTCCTTGACCCAGGCCAAGGTCAGAGTCTTGTGCGCTCAGCCTCACCTGCTGGCTTAGCAAACCACATAAAACACACAAACTGTGTGCAGAGCAGCCTTGGCCGTGGAGCCTCAGAAACCCATGCCAGGGGCCCCAGGGCCGGCAGACAGTGTGCCCTGTGCCCCTGCACCTTCCTCCTTGCCCTCCTCCTCCCCCTTCCTTTGCTTCGTTTCTCCTTGAGGTGAAGGGGGAAACATACTCTTGGTGCTTTCTCTGAGCTGGGCCCTTTGCTGGCAGGGCACAGAGACAGGCGGTGGGGGCTGTGAGCCCACCTGGCTGACTGCCTTTGAGTGAGTCCGAGGTTGGGCTGTCCTGTGGACTTGCTTCGTGTTGTTTTCCCCCCCTGCCACTTCCTCGGGGCCTCTGAAGTCGTGGCCCCAAGGGTTCTGTGACCGGGCTTTACAGTAAACCACAGAGGGAAGGCTGTCTTTAGCAGTAAGCACTTGGTCCCTGGAGCCCGATGGGTCCCAAGCTCTGCGCCACCCAGGTGGGGGGATTGTGGGTGTCTCTGTGTCCAGGGCCCCCACGTTGCCTCTGGAACGGGCCGAGAGCCAGCGCTGAGCTCTGGTGGGGGCAGCAGGGTGGGGGAAGGTGGCCAGTGAGGGCCTCGCCCACCCCCTCTCTCGGCCTGTGTGTGTCCTTGATGAGAGGCCCCAGGCACAGCCCTCCCCTCCCAGCCTTGCTCATGCAGAAAGCACGTCTGTCCTGTTATCAGGAGCTTTGCAGGGACTTTCATGAGCTTCCCAGGAAGCCTGAAGGTTGTATCAACCGAGGCCCCAAGTCAAGGTGGGAGATGGAGAGCTGGCCTCGGGTCCCTCTGGGGCAGTTGTCTGGAGACTCCCCAGAGGTGACCCGGGAGCCTGTTGGCCTTTTGTGACAAAGGCGGGAGCTGTGATGGGAGGCGGCGCCTGGCTTGCTCCCAGCCATGCCGCCGGCCTCCAGGGCCTCTGGCCCTGGCCTTGGACTCACATGACCCCGGGGCCTGATGGGGGTCCTGAGGTCAGGGACCCACAGAAGGCCACTGGCATTGTCTGCATCTCTGGGTCCGCTTCTGAGACTCGCGTCCAGATCCCATGGGTGCTCTGGTCAGGCCGGGCGTCTGTTGGTCGTGCACGTTCCAGAACGCCGCTCGAAGGCCCTAATCCAGTTGGAGTTCTGGTGCCCCCTCAGGTCTCCGGCTGAGCCATGATCTTGGCTCAATCTGCCAGTGACGGGTGGTTAGATAAGACTTTCCTTTAGCTGGAAACCTCCCCAGGGTCTGGGGAAGGGGGTGTTACGTGTCCCCAGGGACACATGTGCTGTGCGGGGCTTCGCTTTATAGCCCCTTCCGCCCTCCTTCTGTCCCTTGCTTGCACCTTGTGCAGGAGCCTTAAGGAGGACGGTTGGGGTCTGGCCTGGCACAGCCAGCCAGGGTGAGTCAGACTTGGAGGAGACGTGACCCCCACGGAGCAGATTGCGGCTGCTGATCCTTGCCCCTCTGGGGCTGCTGAGCGCGGCCCCTCCTGGCCGGCGGTAGCCCCTAAGTGGTGGCCATTGGGACATGCGCCTCTCCTCTGTCTCCTCCCCGGCCCCCACAGCAGCTTGGTCGTCCACGCACACGCACGCGCGCACACACAAGCTCGTGTGGAGAGCTCTAAAATTGAGAACCGATTGTGTGTGGGTTCCTACTGGGAGGTGGCAGGGGAGCCAGCGCCTGCGCCATGGGCTAGCTTGCCATGTCCCTCCAGCCGAGCGGAGGTCGCTTAAAACTGACCCAGCACAGGGCGCCAGGGTGGCTCAGTTGGCTAAGCGACTGCCTTCGGCTCAGGTCATGATCCCAGAGTCCTGGGATGGAGTCCCGCATCGGGCTCCCAGCTCAGCGGGGAGCCTGCTTCTCCCTCTGACCCTCTCCCCTCTCATGCAGTTTCTCTTTCTCTCTCCCTCTCAAATAAATAAATAAAATCTTAAAAAAAAAACAACTGACCCAGCACAGGCCATCGGGGCCAGAACCTGCTGCCGAGGTTGAGCCCCACCCCACCGCCCCCATCAGCCCCGTGTCACCTCCCGCCTTCTCCTTTGATCCTGTCCCTCCCCCGAAGAGCTAAGGTGGGGCCCAGGCATCTCCACAGACACGCCCTGGGGTTGCCCCAAAGCACAGGGCTGAAGGCCGCCCTCCCCTCTCCTCCAGGAGGAATCAGAGAAGCAGCTTAGCCTGATGGAGGCACAGACCAAGGAGGTCCTGTCGGCTCTGCTGCCGGCGCTCTCCAGCTCAGCGCCCCAGGTAGGAGGGGGGGTGGCCCCCGGGGGACCCCGCTGCCCAGAGGGAGTGTCTCTGGGCCCCACCTTGCGCATGTGGTTGCAGAGTTACACCGAGTGGCTGCAGGAGCTCCAAGAGAAGGGCCCCGAGCTGCTGAAGCAGCCGCCGGCTAGTGCAGAGCCCTCGTCGGTGAGCATGGCTGCCCTCTCCGCGCGCCCCCCCCCCCGTCGCCGGGATCACCACCGTCCCCTTTGCTGGCCCCTGGCCCCAGTGCCCGGAGTTGTCTCCTTGGGCAGCGGGGCGAAACCTTTGTGTTTGGCTAACCGGGGCCCTTTCTGCCCCCAGGACCTGGCCTCCAAGCTGAGGGAGGCTGAGGAGACCCAGAGCAATCTGCAGGTCGAGTGTGACCAGTACCGCACCATCCTGGCAGAGACGGTAGGGCTCGCAGCTGGGTGGCCCTCAGGGGGCTGCTGGGAAACTTGCAGAGCCTGCAGGCGGGAGGTGGGCCAGTGGCCTTGGGGAAGAGAGCCCTGGGTTGAGATGCTGGCTCTGTGTGACCTTGGGCAAGTCACAGTCCCTCCCTGGGCCCCATTTCTCTGGCTGAGCAGTAAGGGGGATGAGGGAGGGGCTCAGGCCTTCACTGCTTCTGAGCTGAGGAGGGGGCTGGGTTGCGGGTTTGGGGCTGGCTCTTCGGGGGGTTGGAGTGCAGAGACAGTCACGACATGGGATAGACTGGGAAAGGAAGAGGTGAGCCTGCGGCTGGTGGCCGGCCTGAAGCCACACTGTCTCTGTGACTTCAGGAGCCATGCTAGGTCCAGCCCTCCTGCCTGACCCCATCCCCCGCTCCTTGCCCCGGGGCCACCGAGGTCAGCGCCGGTGGCAAACCCCACCGAGGTGAGAGTCCTGGTGGCCTCCCTTGTGGGGCCCGCAGTCTGCATTTGCACACTGGCAGAGACCCCACTCCAGGACTGACCCACCTTCCTCCCACCGTGACACTGTGACAGAATCAGAGCAGCCATCCCAGAGGAGCCAGGGGACAGGAGGCCGCAGCCGTGTTCATGGGGGGCAGGGTCTCCAGGGAGGGGGCCGGCCTCAGTGTCCCATCCCCCCAGGAGGGCATGCTCAAGGACCTGCAGAAGAGCGTGGAGGAGGAGGAGCAGGTGTGGAAGGCCAAAGTGAGCGCCACGGAGGAGGAGCTCCAGAAGGTACAGGAAGGGCCCTGAGACCCTGTCCCAGGGTCAGTGACACAGGTGTCGCTTGGGGGGTGGGGGTCCGCCTACCCTAGGAATTCAAACAGAACTTACCAGAGACTGACAGGTCAGAATTTATCAAAACTAGAGGGAAAGCCGATGGGGGCGGGTGGCGGTCCCATGGGTCTCTTTGGAGACAGGAGGCGAGTTTGCTGGGTTTTGGTGACATCACATCAAGTGTGACTGTGGAGTGATAGCTGACTCCTCAGTCTCAAGAGCCCCCCTCCCCCCAAGGAAGAGGCTGCTGGTCACCCTTCAGGTGGGCGGGCACCACTGGGCTTTCCCGGGAGGTGTCCCGTCCTGCTTGGGTCCTGGGACCGTCCCCTTCCAGGGGCTCAGGTTTGACGGGGCCTTCCCCTTGCTTGGCAGTCACGGGTCACAGTGAAACATCTCGAAGGCATTGTAGAGAAGCTAAAAGGAGAACTTGAAAGTTCAGAGCAGGTAGGTGCGGGGCTCTGCTCAGTGGGCCACTCTCCTTATTATGGAGGCCCCCGTAGTTATTTTTCCCTCGTGGACTGCATGTCTTGAGGGAGGCGAAGGGGTCTCGTCAGTCCTGCTTTTCTGAGAGCCACTCACAGGCTCCGTGGCCCAAGGCAGCCGTGGGGCCCCGGTGCACGGCGGCTCCTGCAGAGGACGCGTCGTGGGAGGGGTGTGAGGTGGCCCCAGTGGTCTCTGCAGACACCCCGTCAGCCCTGGCCTTCTAGAGGGTGCCCCTGGCATCCACCGGGCATCCACCTGGCAAGCAAATCTGAAGCTCTCCTCTCCGCCCCTGCTGAGGCTGAGAACACGTCTGAGCCCGGGAGTGCTACAGTTTGGGAAGGTGTTTTGTTGCCAGGGACTCGTCTCTGCCTGTCCTTGGTCGGCCCGTTGCCGACAGGCCATGGGTGGGCTCCCAGCCCTTACCCTGGGCAGCCAGACTTGTCGCCCCGTCACCCTGTTCCCTGTGGTCACTGCCTCCTGCGGGCCCACTGGAGGCGTCTGACGCGCGCGTGCGTGTGCGTGTGTCCGTGCAGGTGAGGGAGCACACCTCACATCTGGAGGCAGAGCTGGAGAAGCACATGGTGGCCGCCAGCGCCGAGTGCCAGAACTACGCCAAGGAGGTGGCGGGGGTGAGTCTGCCCATGGGGTCCCCGGCCACTGGGCTTTTCTCCCCCGCCCTTGGCTCTCACTCACCTGAGCACGACGTCTGGGTTCTCAGGCTTCGGCCCTGGCCTCGGGCCAGCTGACCGAGGTGTGGCAGGGGGCAGGGTGCAGAAAGCGGGCCCCACGGACAGGGCAGCCTTACGAGGAGAATTCTCTCCCTGGCCTGGGGACACCATTTCGGGGGCAGACGGGTTTAAATCTGATACTGGTTTCTGGCTGCTCGGAAGCCAAAAGCACAAGCCTGCCCCCTCCCCGCCATGCTGGTTTGATCTCAGACTTTGGGCCTATTTCACAAGACAGTCTGTAAAGGAAAGTCCAAGGCAGGCATGTAATGGATTCTGTCTTCCTGATGTCTTCAAGAAAGACAGTGGTTCTAGAAGGCCTAGGAGCCCCCGCCTGCCTGCTCTGCTCTGTGATGTTCTCGGGTGGTGGGTTACAGCGACGGGTCGTGTTCGCTTGTCTGAACTGTTTTTCTCCTTTTCCCCATCACCTGGGTCCATTTCCTCTCCAAGTTGAGGCAACTTTTATTAGAATCTCAATCTCAGCTGGATGCAGCCAAGAGTGAAGCCCAGAAACAAAGTGATGAGCTCGCCCTGGTGAGTGAGCGTGGAGAGGAGCGCGTGTATGCCAGTGCGTGTGTGTGTGGGTGGGTGGGTGTGGGTGGTTAATTGGCCAGTCGTGCTTCTCCACCCCGTCAAGGGTAACGCGGCGTGGTGGAGCGGAGGTGTGCACCGATCCAGCATTAGGGACAGGCTTTTTTTTTTTTTTTTTTTAATTTTATTTATTTATTTGACAGAGAGACACAGCGAGAGAGGGAACACAAGCAGGGGGAATGGGAGTGGGAGAAGCAGGCTTCCTGCAGAGCAGAGAGCCCGATGCTGGGCTCGATCTCAGGACCCGGGGATCATGACCTGAGCTGAAGGCAGATGCTTAATGACTGAGCCACCCAGGCGCCCCTAGGGGCAGGCTTTGATGGGCCCTGCTGGAGGGGCTGCAAGCTGGGGGGTGGCTGCCAGGACCGGTGCTCACGCTCCACTTCCTGTGGCCCCGGGGGAAGGTGCTGGGAGTTCAGGGCTGGGGCTGGGGGCAGTCCAGCTCCCTGTGAGCCCTGTGGCTCAGACCAGTTCGGTCAAACCTGTGGGCGTGCAGGAAGGCCTGCTGTACCCCAGGGCGGGGGCCGGACTGGGGTGCTGCCTTGGCAGAGGTGTGGGGCTCCCTGCTGTGCAGGTGGCCTCAGGTCCTCCTAGCTGTCCGCTTTGGTGGCTGACCCACTCCCTGGCCCCTGGAGAGGTCAGCCAGGCCTCACGGAGGTGGGCCTCCCCTGCGCCAGGACCAGCCCCGGGTCTTCGGCCACAGCCCATGCTGCTGGATCTGCAGCCTTTCCTAAAACCTTGAGTTAGTCGTTACCACTTAGAAATTGACAGTTTTGAAGACAAACACGTCTGGTTTTTGGAGAGGAGCCGGCAGGTCTGGTCCGGGGTGCAGGCACTCCCCCAGCAGCCCCCGCCCTGGGGCACGCGCGCCGGACCCCCCAATGCGCCCCTGCTTATTCAGGCCTCGCCCGGAACCAGCACACCGGAGAGCGGGCACCATCCGGGCCGAGTCGCCTGAGCCTGAGGGCCACTCGCCAAAGCCATGATGGCCTACGCCAGGTCTGGGTGTCGGGTCCTGGGCGTGCCGCCCGGGTCGGGGTCATGTGCAGAGAAAACCCCTGAATTTCTCATCATCACAAGCCTGTGCATCTTGGTGTCACCTTTGGGGGGCTGCTGTTGGGAGGGAGGGAAGCCAGAGGGCAGGCCTGCCGATGCCCTTTGGTGCAGTGCCTCTTGGAGGGGGCCCGAGACCACCCAAGGCCCCCGGGAAGCTCGTACCGAGGGCCCACCCTGATCCTGACTAGAACCTTCACCCGAGCTTCATGGGTGACGCAGCTGCTGCTTCAGATCGGAGGCTCCGTGGCCTGGGGGCCCCCTGGTGTGTCACCTGCCCCTAGCGGTGGAGCCCTGATGTGAGGGGACCTTATTAGGCAGGTGTCCTCTCCTCATCTTTCTTAGACCCCAAAGAGGCTCTGAACAGCGGACCGCATCTGAAAGGAATCCGGGACCTAGGTGGTGCCGTTTGTACGGAGCCCGTGCGCCGCCTCTCACTTCCTTTTCGGTTCCTTAGCTCTGCGTGCGCCGTGTCCGTCAGCGGTCACCTTGCTCCGCGGAGGGCTCCGCGGCTGGCCTTGGAGCAGAGCACAGGGATGGCCCCTAGGCCTCAGTTTGGCTCTGGTGAGGGGTCATGGTTGCGAGACCAGGTCCTCCACGGGGCTTCAGCCGTCGGGAGCATCTGCCGTCCTCCCGAGGGGGTCTGGACGCACGCGTGTGCACGGCGGCCGTGTCCGGCTGTGATTGGCACAAACCCCCACCCCTCCCTGTTTCAGGTCAGGCAGCAGTTGAGTGAGATGAAGAGCCACGTAGAGGATGGTGACGTAGCTGGGTCCCCAGCTGCCCCCCCAGCAGAGCAGGACCCCGTCGAGGTTAGGGCGGTGAGCCGGTCCCCAGATGTCTGTCACTAACAGCCCACGTGGGCCCCGTCCTGCCCATTTGGAGAGCAGGGGCGGCACGCCTCTGTTCTGGCTGAACGCTGGCTACTCGCAGCCTCCACCGCCTGCTCTGTCCCCCCGCCAACCCCCCCCCCCCCCTGCCGCCCAGTCAGGCGCGGCCCAGGTTCTGAGGAAGCCCCAGAGCAGAGGAAAGGGCAGGGAAGTGGCCAGGTTGAGAGGTATCAGGCGCTGGATCCTAACCATGTGTGCGGGAGGGGTGGGAGGGCGAGTCAGGGAGGCTGGGAGGCTGGGCCTGCGGTTAGGGAGTCTGGTCTCCGCTGTGGCCCTTGCTGCAACGTCCCTAGCAGGGCACTTGCTCTCCAGACTTCTGACCCGAATAACTGCAGTTGAGAGCCCTCCCCAGGGGCCTGTCCCCAGAGGAGCAGCGGTGGGGATGGAATTGTGCGGCTGGGGCTCGCACCGTGGCTCTCGCTAAAGGCACCTGGGGTCAGCAGAGGTCCTAGTAGCGCCTCTCTTCGGTCCCCCAGCTCTGTCCCTGGGGGCTGAGGCACCATCTCCCCCAAGGGGGAGCTCTGGGAATGGGGGCAGCTGGAGGCAGGGAGAGGCTGAGGGAGCGCCAGTTGCAGCGCCAGTTGCAGCTAGAAGGTGGAGCCTGCTGGAGCCGCGGTCCCCGCCGGGGTCCTTCCCCAGCTTCCCACAGTCTGTGTGTGGTGTTTCCACGCAGCTGAAGACGCAGCTGGAGCGCACGGAAGCCAATCTGGAGGGCGAGCAGGCGCTGCGGCAGAAGCTCACGGCCGAGTTTGAGGAGGTCAGGCCCTGCCCCTGCAGCCCCCAGTGTGCCAGGGCCAGTGGGGCTGGGAGTCGGGACTCTGCCGGGCCATCCGGCCTCGGCCCCCCTACCCCCCCACCTTGAACCCGTGTCCCTTCCTGCTGGGCGTCCTGCGGTGGACCTGTGGGGTGTGCAGGGCCTCCTGCCCATGGCCTGCTGCCCTGTCTCCACCAAGGCTCAGAGCTCGGCATGTCGGCTCCAGGCAGAGCTGGAGAAGCTCCGCAGCATGGGGTCCCTCGAGTCTTCAGAAGCAGAGGAGGTCTCGCAGCTGAAGGTAGAAATGGGGGGGGGGGCGGGTCAGGAAAGGAGGGCCACCAGGGGCTGGCTCTCACCACCAGCTTCCCAGGGTCGCTGTCTGGGGTGGGAGAGGGACAGGAGCCCTCTTGAGGCCCCCTGAGCAGGGTCCAGCCTCATTTGGTGGTGATGGAGGGTGGCGGGATCCCTAAACCCCAAGATCACGCTGGGCAGCCACTAGTCAGTGTGGCTGTGTCCAGGAAGTAAAACTGTCACAGCAGCCCCAGTGCACCACGGGAGCTTTCCCCAGTGTCACAGGAAGCTGGTGGCGGGGCTGCACGGCTCTGGAGGACTCCCGGTTCGCGGCCAGCGGGGGCCCTTTGGGCAGAGCCAGGTGCTCCTTCTGCTGCGTGCCGTGTGATGGCTCATCCCCTTGGACCCTCTGACCCCCAGGAGAGACTGGAAAAAGAGAAGAAATTAACCAGTGACCTGGGACGCGCTGCCACCAAATTGCAGGAGCTTCTGAAGACAACCCAGGAGCAGCTGGTGAAGGAGAGCAAGACGGTGAAGGAGCTGCAGGGGCAGCTGGACAAAACCGTGAGTGTCCTGGCCCTGCCCACGGTCTCGGCTCCCCCAGCCCCTGGAGGTGGGCCCGCCCCCCACAGCAGGGGGACCCCAGGACTCCTGGGCTGCAGGGCAGATAGGAGACCCAGGCCTGGGGGCGGGACGTAGTAGGACAGCCTCCTGAAAGCAGGTGGCAGGACCCGCAGCCTTATGGGCCCAGCCCCCACCCTTCCGCTGTCCCCCTTGGTGGGAAGTGCATCCCTGATGCCCACTGTCCGCTAGGTCCTCGCTCTGCACAGCCTGGGGTGCTGGGGTCCTCACCCAAACTCAGGGACCTCCCTCTCCTCCTGCCGGCTCCCCCCCAGCCCCTGGAACCACTCTGGTTCTCTGGACTTGCTGGGCTGGGCGTTCTCTGAGGGGATGGGAGTGGTGTGGGGGTGTTAACCCCAAGGGGCACTGGAGGCCCCTAGGAGTTAGGAGTGAGCACTTGCCTTGGCTCCTTGGCCCCAGCCTCTCCCTCCCTCTGCCCACCTTTGTTCACAGGAGGATGGTAGCAGCTCAAAGGAGGGCACATCTGTCTGAGTCTCCTCTTCAGGACAAGAAGTTACTGTTCAACTTACCAAAATGCCTTACACATTCCTTACAAATAAATCAACCAACCAACCAACACAGCGTTATCGAGGCCCAACCTCCAGTAGCTCTGAGAGAAGCCATTAGAGACAAGAGTCTCTTAGAATCACAGAAATAGATCTTCCAGACCCCCTGTTTGTAAAAGAGCCTTTGTCACATTTGATAAACACTATTCCCCAGGACCAGCCCTGGACCACCACCGAGCAGACGCCAAAGCCCTTATCAGCTCTGTGACAGACCCCAGGGGATGTGCTGGGGAGGCCGGGACCTCTGGGTATCTGTATGTCAATCAGTGCAATTGTTTTCTTTCCCTGGGTTGGGGGGTCAGGAGGCGGGCGGCCCCGGGGGAGAGTCTCAAAGGCTGTGGAGCAGACTGGAGGGTCACAGTCCAGCCCAGCGAGGCAGCAGCCCCTCACCCCCGGGAGAAGCTGCCAGCAAGAACGGATGTGTGACCTCCTGGACGTTCATGCCATTAAAACCAACACTGTCGCCCGGCGCTTTTGGTCTCGTCTGGTCTGCTGGGGCTCCCCGGCCTTGTAACCATGCTGTGTGGCACCCGTGTGTTCCAACAGTATTGGGATCAGGGTGCTGGGAGTCTGGGGAAGGCTCCCCAGAGAAGCGAGCTTATGCTGGAGCTCACCAGAGCAGGAGGTGTCTGTCAGGAGAGGGGAGGAGGGCTCACGGCAGAGGGGACGGCAGGTGCAGGGATCGGTGGCAAGGGTGAACAGGCCTCGTGGAGCCAGCTTATGAAGGACGAGGCATTGGACAGGTAAGGCAGGAGGAGACCATCATACCTGTTCTGGCACTCGGAGGGGGCTGAAGTGGAGAGGGGAAGCCCACAGGACTTGGGACGCGGATGCCGTGCTTTCTGGCAGGAGACTGAACAGGAGAAAGTGACCAACGATACCTGATGCTGACCATGTGCCCAGCCTTGTGCTTGGTTCTCACATGAAACCTTCCAGTCCCCACGGGAGGTATGCCCCACGCCCCCCGTTTCTGCAAAGAATCCACACAGAAGTGAAAGCTCACCTAGTAAAAGGCAAGGCAGGTTTCAAACCCACCTCTAATGTTTGTCAGCGTATCACTCAGCCTGGGGGCTCAGCTGGAGGAGAGGAGTCGGCTTTCAGAGTCCATGGACCCCGTGAATAGTGGCCGAGTCCCCCCAGACCTGTGGCCCCTCACTGCACCTGCCATGTGCGCTGGGCATTAGGAGCAGGGACTCTGTGCAGAATGACCTGCCCGGGACGGGGGGGCTGGTCACGACTCCTCCCACCAACGGTGAGTGGCCTTAACCAAGGCCAGTGGTTTGGGGCCCTGGTCAGTCTCCCGGTGGGAAACTGAGGCCAGACCTGGCCCTGCACCAGACTCTTGCATCAGAAACATCACCATGACCTTGTGAGCATACGTTTCTAGTAAGCTCCCGTCCCCCTGCCACACTGACTGCAGAATTGAGAACCCTTATGCTGGGCAGATGCCCTCTGAAGGCACAGGAGGGGCGGGCCTTGGGGCAAGAAAGGCGTGGGAGAGAGACCTGGGCAGTACCGAACACAGGGCCAGCTCCCTGGGTTCCGGCTCCAGCCCTCAGACCGCCTGGCAGAGCCCCTCCGCTGTCTACCTGCCTCGAGGAGGTAAAACAAAGGCAGGCACAATATAGGGTGGGGGCCCCAGGAGGCTGACCTGGGGGCTCTCAGGCCACGGTAGAGACCTCCTGCAACTCAAGCTCTCAGGGCCCATCATCGGTCCTCCACCCGCCCCCTAGCAGAGGGGACCCGAGTTCCGCTAAGCAGCCTGCCAGAGCTCGCCTTGGCCTGGCCTTGTCACCAGGGCTGGCCTGGGTAAGGTCCCAGCGCCAGGCTGGGGAAGGAAGAGAGCCACTCAGGAAGATACTGGAGGCAGCTGCCCTCGGTAGATGCTAGAATGGGGGGTCAATCGCCCCCCCCCCCCGTCTTCCTCAACATGGCAGACGCCCGGGGCGCGTGGCTCGTTGGCCCGGCTGTCCACAGCTCCCTGTCCTGCAAATGCAGGGCCCCTGCAGCCCTGGGTAACTGGCTTGCGTAGCCCTGTGCCCTGAAGGCTGGTGTGGAGGCAGGGGCCGCCCAGGCCAGCCTCGAGCACTTGCCAGTGAGCCGACGCCGGCCCGCGGGGCTGCTGACACAAAGCACCGCTCTCCCCTAGGCCGTGGCCCCGGCTCGGTGCTGCCGCCGCATCTGACACACCCCCCTGCCCCCGGCCCCAACAACAGTGCAGCTGGGAGAGTTCTGAAAGCCCTTCAGAGGCTCCCGGCCGCGACCTGAAGCTCCAGGGTCACGCAGCTCACAAACAGCATCTCCAGACCCAGTAGCCCCGTTGTGTGAGCAGCGCCTCTTCTGACCAGCATCCTCTGGTCATCTCCACATGATATCCAATAAAACATACCAACACCAGGATGCCTGGCCTGCAGGCAGCCAAAACACAGATTTTAGAAACCACTAGACACCCTCCACAAATGCCTTCTGAGCTTCCTTCAGATTTGGGCCTAACAGGATTCAAAGCCTGAAAGAACTGCTACCTTTCCTGCCCCAGTTCCAGCCTCATCCCTGGCACTGAACAAGATCTAACCTTAGAATTCCAGATGTTAGAAATGAAGAACTCTCCCCAGGGTGCAATGGGAACAGCTTAGGGCCAGAACAAAAGATGGAAGCTGTAGTCCCAGTTCTGCCGCTTACGAGATGTGTGACTTCAGGCAAGTGACTTGACCTCTCTGGGCTGCCCACTGGGGGCACCAACTCCAGGCTGCCAGGTCTTCTGGGCAGAGTCCAAGAACAGACCTGGCCAGCCAAACAGGTCAAGTCACACAAGCTTTGCTTCCAGCAAATCCCTGGCTCTTGGAACTTCACCCTCTCGCAGCCACAATGCAATCATGGGTGACCCTCGAACAACACAGGGGTTAGGGGCATGGATGCCCCCCCCCCGCCCTTGCACAGTGAAAAGTCTGTATTACTTTTGACTCTCCCATAAACTACAAATAGTCTACTGATGACCTGAAGCCTTCCCAATCACAAACAGTAGATTAATGCATTTTGTATGTTATGTGTATCATACACTGTATTCTTACAATAAGCTGAAGAAAATGTTTAGGGCGCCTGGGTGGCTTAGCTGGTTAAGTGACTGCCTTCAACTCAGGTCATAATCCTGGGGTGTCTGGATCGAGTCCCTGCTCGGCAGGAAGTCTGCTTCTCCCTCTGACCCTCCCCCCTCTCATGTGCTCTCTCTCTCATTCTCTAATAAAATCTTGAAAAAAAAAGTTTAGAAAATCATAAGGAACATATATTTATAGTCCTGCACTATAAAAAGCCACTTATAAATGGACCCACACAGTCCAAACCTATGTTGTTCCAGGGGTCAACTAGAATGACCCTTCTTACAGCTGCAGCCCAGCTTGAACTTGGCCCGGAAAGTGTCGGTCTGTATTTCAGAAATGCCGAAATCATGGGAAAGTGATGTGTCCCTAGGCATATCCAGTCTGAGAATCCAAAGAGCAACAAAGCAGCCAAGAAACAGAAGCTGCACTTCCTACGTGTGACCAGCCAGCCCTCTGGGCAGTTCTGCAAAAAAGGAAACCACTCCACTGAGCCTAATTCTATTATCCGAGTCGCTGTGCTCACTGTTTCCTCGGGGATTAATATTCCCTGAAATAACAAACTTTATAGTCAAGCTCCGAACTTCTGTTCGCAGTGGCTTTGTCTGCTGCTTTCCCAGGGCAAGAGAGTATCAGCAGATGACCCTTCAGTCAGCTTTCCACAAACATACTTCTGCACCGTGTCTGCACTTGTAGGAATGTAAACGTGCTTATGGAAAGCAGGTACACCTGCAGTGTAATTCCTCACCAGACTCCGCTGAGGTCTTAGACTCTCGTTTGGCATCACAATGACCTGCATGCAGTCCTTGTTAGCAGGATGCTTGGGCCCCCACCTCAGGAATGCAGTAAGACTCAAAAGTTCCCCTAGGTGGAGATAGAAGTAACTATTAGCATCTTCCCAATTTCTGCCCGGAAGTGGAGCGGTGGGAGAGGTTTACTTTCTCTTACGTCCTTATACCCTGTGTGAGACCCTCCCCATAGCATGCATCCCTCTCCCACCTCCCACCCCTCTTCACCCCCACCCCCCCCCACATGCAAATGCACACACACCAGCAGGGAGTGCTGGTTCTACAAGAAGTGCCACATGCCACAAGCTGACACCACAGAAAAAGACTTCCTCCTTCTAAAACTCCTGGACCAAACACCTGGCTCTACCTACATGGCTGATTCTTGAGTCAGGCAGCCGTGGCCTGTGACGCTTCTTGGGAGGCCTGTTAACAGAGACTGTTGCTGAAAGCACTGCTTGGCAGTAGAGGAAATCAGAAATTCAGGATGAAAGAATGACAAGCAGAAGTATTTTGATTTAAGCATAACTTTTTTGCCTCCCAAATAAATCGGAAAGGAGATAAAAGCTTGGTATTTGGATACACATTTGGAGTAAGAAAAAGATTCCCAGCTTTTTTACACCAACTTCCTCATTCAATAAGAGGAGGAAGAAACTGTGATCTTAACTCTTAATTGTCTGAAATACCCGAACCTCCACGCCTTATCCCATTTATGGGAGGCCAAGTCCTTCATCCCCAATTCCCATGTGAATAATTACACAAGAGGTAAGTTAAAAATGCTTCCTTTATTATATAAAGCCAATACTGCTACTTCTAAGTTCAACTGTGCGCATCTCTATATTGTTCAAAGTGTTATGCCTGTGATGTTAAAGACAATCACTTCCAAGTGTCATCAGGTAGTGGCTTCCTGGGGGTGTCATCCATTATCCCTGCTCCCCATCCCACATACAATCAACAAACTGCTCTAGGAAATTAGGAAGTTCTCCCAGGCCCCAGCGAACACATATACTTAGTGTTCTTCCACACCTTACTGTACCAGAAGCAACAAAATTCTGAAGGAGACACAGTTAAAGATGTTACAGGTGCCCCAGCTTGTCAATACACCATTTTATCATCTTAACAAAGTGTTGTAATTACAATGGAGCCCTAATTTGCATTATAATTAGTTGTTACAAGGTATTGTACATTCTCCTGAGGACACGCCATGATTTTATTTCCAAGATGCAAGGTCACTCTCCGAACAGTCTCCCAACTAGCAAGTGGAGAGCTCACTGCAGGTGCAGGGAGCTGCTTCCTGCATTCCAACTGCATGCTCAAAATAGTGCTTTGCAAGATCAGCGCTGGTTAGAAGTGTGCACAATTCTGAGGCAGTCTCCATCACACATTTGCTAAAATTAAAAGACTGCCTGACTTAGTCTTACTGTAGTTAGTGTATTAGTGCTGTTACATGTGGTAAGGAGATTTATTTTCTATTATGCAGTTTAGCTCAAAAGACAATAAAGAATTTGGGCCAAAATTATAACCAGATTATGACCAATTCTCTAAGCAAAAGAAACAAAGTAACTGCTGAGGTTACAAAGATGCAATAATTCT